AAAGAGCCCACCTTGAGGGGAAGCTTCTGCGGGAGGAGCGGGGCTTAAAACCTACCCTCGGTGTTCGTAGAGTATCGCTGCCTCGCAGCCTTCTTGTAATAATAGTAATGAATGTGTAAGTCTCGCATTATTTTCAGCGGAGCTGGTTCGCGGCGATTAGGGATAGGGTTTGTGTCTGAGTCGCCCCCTGTTTCAGCCCGTCCCCCTCTTACCGCACGCACTCCTCCTCCTGTTTCTAGAACAGCCTCAGTTCAGGTGTGAGCGACACAGGGAGCTCGGGCAGGCGTTGTCAGTGGGATGTAAACAGCCGTGCACAGTTGTTCGGCTTTTTTAAAAAAAACTGAGATTGTGTTCTGTCTGCACCTTGCTCGGCAATAAAAACAATGTTAAGCATGTGCTTTGCTGCTCCTCCTACTTGGTGACTGAACTGTGTGATTATGGTCGAACATGACTGTATTGCAAGCAAGATAGCGTGGGTTGTGCCCAGGTGCGGAGTTCAGAACACAGAGTTCAGAAGCAAGTTGTTATAACAGGTTGAGAAATTTACTTGGAAAATGTTATGGAGTCAGGGATCCTGATTTCACCCATCTTTCTGTCCTGGTAGAGTTGGGTATTCTCCTCCCCCCCCCTTCCCTCCTGTAGAGGTTAGATTTTAAAGCAAAGTTGATTATAGCAGCAATCTGGAAAAACTGATCAGTGATAACTGTGTCCTGAGTATGTTAGGGAGAGTTAAAAGCAAGATTCATGATTCAAGCATCATAAGAAGTGATAAGCACATTGTTCCAAAAATAGGTTGTACCTATACAGTAATATGCTAGCATGGAATTTTATATCTGTCTTTAGACTATCACATACGTAAAACAAAGTGAACTCAAGTGCCTAATTGAATTTGCCTGTTCTTGTATTAAATTTGCAGAAAGGTTTACGCTCTTAAGTGGCCTTTTTTTTATAAATAATTTTTAGATGATTCTGCAAACTTCTGTAGGCAAATATGCATTCTTTCCATTTTGTATTTGTTTTATTGTTAGGCATGTTAAGAGGTTGACACCAGTTATGTTTTTGAAAAGATATTCCAATACATTAAATGCTGAAACAAGGTCACAAAAATTAGTTAAATTAATTAGAACTTAGATGACTGAATAGTCATCTAATTCTTAAATTCATGAAGTATTTTTTAGTCTTGAGCTTAGACTTTTTTCTCTTTTGAAAAAGTTCCATAAAGAAATATTTTTGAACACTTATGATTACTCTCTCTTTTCAATTACAGGAGTATCCAAGATAAAAGTAACAAAAAAGTTTTCTGGAAATTTCCCATCCCCTACTTTTCAAGCCACGGCACTTAGAACACATAGCATCTTACTTTCTTGGAAGACTGTGACCTGAAATTCATCGTCAGTATAGCTCTAGTGATGGCCCTATTGTCTCTTTTCATCATTGGCTGTCTATAAAAACTTCGGATAGTATCGCACAGCTTCAAGAGTGCGTTTTGATCTGTAACCAGCATATATTAGCTGCTTAGAACTTACTGAAGTTAGCTCAGAGGTGCAACTTCTAAGTTTGCTGTGATGACCTGGGCCACTTCTGTTGGCCATGTCTAGGAGGTTATTTTTCCAGCTGAAAAATTCATATGGTTTTGTCAGTGGCAGCTCACTCCTGGTCTTTTCTAGGGGGGGTGGGGAAAGTCTCAGGTGTAGTCCTCCTGTCTTTGAAATGATCAGTGTGCTGTATATGTGAATCAGCTCGACTGTATGTGCACAATAGCCCCTATAATGTGTATCCAGAACTTAACCTCCTAAGGCAGCAATAAAAGTAGGCTGCCTAACCAGAAAATTTATGCATGTGTATTACCTTACTAGCAAAAGATGAGGCAGGATCTCTGCAGAGGAGGACTTGGAGAGCCAAGTCAAACAGTTACCTTGTGCAGTTTTTTACAGACTAACACAAGATGGCTTTGGAAGGAATTAAAGCCATCAAACACAGTATCCCAAATTTGGCAAGTGAATAGCTTGCATATGGTGATTGCTTGTTATAACCTGGTTGTAGTTGTGTGGAATATCCATTCAGCATGAAGTTTAAAGGAATAGTGTGCTTCAGACTAGCTTATTACAAGTAATATTCTTGGGCTATGCTTAGCATTTATCTCAAACACAAACATGACAGCTTTTCAGTGGATTTGCTAATTTAATTCTTGATTAGTTATTAAGTTTAATTATTCAGTTTTCACAGTTGCAAAATCCAGTTCCTTCATCTTTTTGTTAGTTGCAGATGATTCTAAGTCACTATTCCGTTTTCTTGCTTTACTTCTGTACCAGTGAATTTAGTGGCTCAGCAACAGAACTCTCTCACAGGTGGAAAGCTTGTTTCAGCACAGGAGTGTTTTGCATAGTCTCATCATTGTGAGCTGTGAATCACAGTAAATAGTTCTCAAGAAGCAAGCAGAGATTTTTGTTCAGTCATGTTTTCATTTTATGATTGCATCCAAGTGCTACTGGGATTGAAAAATGAAGTTGGAAAAAAATAGAGACGAATTCTGTTTGTCAGTCTCTCATGACAGCGTGTTCAGGTTTGTTTGCATTGTTTTATGAATAGCTTCAGATCTTTAGTGCCATCTTGGTATTGTCTTGTGAGTAGGTAGGATTAAAGTGTTTCAAAGATAGGTAAGAGGATGCTGGCTTTGAGAAAATAATCTATGATGCATTGGATGATAAACAGTATACATTTTCACTTAATATGTCTAGCATATTAAACTTTTTTTTTCAAAAAGCCTTCTAAACTTTCCCAGTTATGTACTGCAACTAAGTTAATTGTCCAGATCCCAAATTAACTGGGCGTATGATAATCTTACATGTGGAATTGTCCTTGAATGTTAAACCAGAATGATTTCACTGTGTATGAAGTCAATGCTTATCTTATAGAAATCATGGGAGCTGGGGGATGTTTATACATATCAAGCCCACCCCACCCCTGGATTTTCTTGTCTTTTTAGAGGCTAGAATTTGGTGTATTGTAGTTTAGTGTGAGGTCTCATTCATAGTCCTTGGGCATTACGTGGATTGCATTGAGGCTTTTAAAAATAAATTATTGGATGCTAAATTCAATTGTAAGCTGGCATGTACAAAAGAACACACTTTGATCAACACCCAGTGCTAAATATATTTCAGATGTATGTAGCGGTGGTGTTTTTCCCTCTTTAATAATGTGATATGAGGTAGAACTTGTGTAAGTGAGACCACTATGGAAGAAATATATGCTACTGAGAATGAGAGAACCTCTTGTCTCAGATTTGCTGAATTTAATATGATTTTGAAGAAAGTTTGCTGACTCTTCTGTAAACTTTTTTTGTATATTGAAACTTACAGACTATTACTAGAAATCTTTCATAATACCTATTTACTATAGTTGGAAAAGTGAAAGGACAATGATGTTCATGATGAAACATGTTTTTAAGGACACTGATTTGAAATAGATGCATGTTGAAGTAACCTTTTTTGAATAAATAAGTTAAAAAAAAAAAAAAGTTATTCCTGTCTGGGAATAAAGATTAATGGGTAAGGTGCAATGCTTGCAAACTTTATTTACTTTCTTGCCTGCCTTTTGCCTTTCACAGTTTGAAATGTTTCTGGTAAGTAGGACTGTATGAGCAACATGAATGTTAGTATTCACAAAATGGTTCAGGAGAATATCTTGCCATTAATAGGAAAGTAGAGCGATAATCAACAAAGCGGGAAAACAAATTAGGTTCAAACACAAAAGTTGAAACACTGAAAGTGACTGTTATAAATGAATTAGCACTGTTAATGATGAAAGGAGTCATATTAAAGATGTATGTTTAGGTGGTAATGTTATTTTTAGACTACCATTGACTCATTACTTTTTTTTTTTCTTTTGTATGTGTGTGGGAAACCCTGTAAAAGGGTGGTTACAGAAAACATGCTTTTTCACCTGCACAGTTTTTTATTAATATTGTTCTTTTCAGCTCTGTTAGGTTTACAAAAATATATAGGGTTCTTTTTCATATTATTTTTATAGAATGAAACGAGGAAGAAAAACTAATGAGGCCAACAGCAGTTCATCTGAAGAGACAACTGAGGAAGAATCCAAGAGACACAAGGTTATAGATGAGAAAACCATAGTTGTGCAGAGTCCTGACTGGGCAAACCTGCTTCAAGACATTATCCTGCAGGTGTTTCAATACTTGCCCCTTCTGGATCGCGCTCATGCATCACAGGTCTGCCGAAGCTGGAACCAGGTGTTTCATATGCCTGATCTCTGGAGGTGTTTTGAGTTTGAACTGAATCAACCAGCTACGTCTTACTTGAGGGCTACGCATCCTGAACTAATCAAACAAATAATAAAGAGGCATTCCAATCACCTGCAGTATGTAAGCTTCAAGGTAGTGTATTTTTGAGGCTTTTAGAAAGCAATTTTATTAAAATAAAAGCATTTCCTAAACTTGGTTCTTTTTTTCTTTTCTTTTTTTCTGCATTTTATTTAGAATATCTTAAGAAGATGTCTCTGATACTTTTGAAACAGCTTTGATGGTTCACTTTTATGAATATCAAAGCGTGAGAAGTACGATTTAATTTATGTCAATAATTGAAATACTGATGATAGGCAGTAATTGACAATTGTGATCAAAACATTTTAACATGCCTTCCTAACATTCAGTTATGTTCTTTATGATGTTGTTTTTGTTATTAGGATTGACAGTTATTTAAAAAGAAATATGTCAGCTCTCGTTGTGGTAGGCCTTGTTCTCAGGCCTAGTGTACTGAAAAAAGGGCTTCTCTAAATGGGCATATAGACATAGAGGTTGTCTCCTAGTTCATTTATTTGGATATATTTTCAGGACCAAAACTTGCAATAACAGTTCTGAACATGCCTTTTCATTGCCTTAATTCCAGTAGGTGGCGATTTTTGTTTGTTTGTTTTTTCTTGTAGCATCTTAACTGGTTTAGAATTGTGCCTCAGTGAATGGGCAGAAATGCTGCAGTTGTGATACTACTGTCTGTGTGGGTTCCTGCCTCAGAATTAAGTTTGATCGGGATACATAAATTGGGCATTTCACATCCTGTGGAGAGTTGGGTCTAATATTCATGGTTAGAAAACATCTAATGCACAAGATGTGACTTCAGTACTACTAGTAAGCAGCTAGCAGTTTTAAGACTAAATTTTGTGGGATAGTCTGTGTATAGCATCTACTCAGCACAGCCACATTTCAGTTAGCTGAAAAAGTAGATGGTATTTGCACAGGATAATATATCAACTGATTGTGCTTGGCTGACAAATACCATTTGGTCATAATTGGCATTGTTAACATCGTGGAATTATTTTCAGCAGATGAAAACCTTTACATTAGTCTTAACATTGGCCTACATATCCCTCTGTTTTGGAAGAGTGCTGTGAAACAGTCATGGCTGCGTATGTATCAGCTGTGTGACAAATTTGGAAAGGAAATGACTTTGCAGCAAGGTGGACAAACTAGTTGTTTGTTTGAGATCTGGCAGTTTTCATGTAGGAATCACCAGCATGAGGTTAGCTGGGGCACCTCTGCCTCATTACGTGTATTGCTACTGCTTGATGTGATACCAAAGGTAAACTGGTTATCACAAGGTTTGCAGGTTTTCTATCAGTGTCTGAATAAAGAAAATTTGTAGCAGTGTTGGAATCACCTTCCAGTGTTTATCTCCAGTCTACGTTGCTTTGCATCGAATGTTTTTGAAGGATTTCAGATTTCCTTCACTGGTGGGGTGATACCTGTGTCAATTCTTGCACGTGTTCCTTCAGTTGTCCTTCAGTGTTGCAGAATGAACTCTAGATTGCCAGAAATACTAACTAGCCAGGATAATTGTAAGGAAGTGGATATAACACTGGCTTTTACTCTGTCAAGGCTGAAAACTTAGAACTGTTTGTAGGCAAAGAAAGATTGGATTGTTGAAAGTTGAGGTTTTTCCGTTTGTGTTAGGGCAGAAAATGAACATTCATCAGACTTAGATCAGTTGCTGACAAGGTAGCATGGCTTATGGTAGACTTAAAATTGATCTTGTGATTAAGCTTTTTACTGTTCTGTAGGTTTACAAAGTTGTCACACCTACTGTATATAAGAGGTTATTTGGAAAGTACATCTGAGTGTTGGGGGAAATCCACTGGAGGCACATCAAGTGATTCAGTTGCGTAACAAGCTGAATAATGAAGATTTTTTTTTTTTTTTTTTAGTATCTATTCTATCTCTACTGTGGTATTAATGATGAAGGCCCAGTCGTATAGGTTCATATGATGATGCACTTAACTCTCCAGCAGCGATATGTTATGATCTGAGCCATCGTAAAAGGAATCAGCTTTTTCACACAGTAAAGTGTTTGTAGAATTCCTGAATTTTGTTAAGCAAGATTGTAAAGAGGAAGTGGGGTGGGCTCTGGAACCAAATGAACCTGCACTTATTGCTTGATGTGAAACATCTTGGAACAAATTGTTTAGCTGTGCCCTCACCACGCTAAATTTTAACAAACTGCTTGGGAGAGTGGTAAATGTATAGCAAATTATCTTGGGCTTTTGGTATGTGCTTTTTTTGTGTGAGAAAAAATGACATTGGTGGATTCCCAATGAAGTGTTTTGTGTGTTTTTATGAAATCATGTTTCAGAAAGTAAAGTGGAAAAAAAGTAAAAGTACATCTGCTCTGCTGTGCTTTTTTTGTAAAGAGTGTGTTCGATGCAGTATTTTCTGAACCAATAAATCTGTTTTGTTTTAAGGTGGACAGTAGCAAGGAATCTGCAGAAGCAGCTTGTGATATTTTGTCACAGCTTGTGAATTGCTCTCTGAAAACACTTGGGCTAATTTCAACTGCCCGGCCAAGCTTCATGGATTTACCAAAGGTATTTTAATATTAATGTTTTTGTATAGCAAAGTATTGCAGTGATTCATATGCTATTTCTGTAACTTTATGAAAAGTTTTATTGTAAGAATTTGAGTCTTTGTTAAAGAAAACTTTATTACTGGGCTCTGTTAAAAGGAGGAACTAAGATGGATAACTAAAGTTTCACTTATTCTCTGCATGCGAGAACTTAGTTCTGACCTTGTTCTTGCAAGTCCTCGTGTCTGTTGACCTCAATGTAATACTGAGCAACATGATCCAAGTCAGGAGGCCAGATGATTCATACCTGTGTAATTGTACTGTGGAAGATGTTTAGGAGACCATTATAATCAAATGAGTGGTAGAGTTTTATCCATGTGGATTTGCTGTAGGGATTATATTATCATTGAGCTGTCTTCAGAAAGCAATAAGGTCATGATTTTCAGAACTTCATGTCATGCAGTCAAGTGTCAGATTCTTAGGCAAAGCGCACTGTGTTTCTGAAATTTTCTGTCAGATTTTTACCCTGCATGTTTACCAAAAATTATATTTTATTAGAAGACATCTAATCTAGAAGACAACAAATCTCTTGTATGTGCTTCTAAACAAGAATTCCTGCTAGGGAGGCAGAAATGTGCTATTGCTAAGGAGCAGGAGAGTGGTTGGAGTAACCTGGGCTGCTTGTTCTATGGCAGGGACATCTCGGATGTCTCACAGCCTCAATTCTTGAATCCAGTCCACACGTATGTGAAGGGCTGGATACAGCTACACTATTAGCTGGATCTCAGTGATGTCATTGCTGATGATGGCAACAAGGACAAGCAAGAACTAGGGACAGCCTGAGGAAAGGAAGTAGGCTATAGGGTTTAAGCAAGGTTAGCTCCAGAAGGATTATCAATTATTATCCTTGGCAGTGATCAGAGCCGTGTCGTGTAGTTCTCTTGAATATATATATTTTAATCCTTAATTTTCAACGAAGCTTTCCAGATCTTTAATTAGGTTTTGTATGTTTTTTTCCTTTTTTCGATGTGCTTTGAGATGTGACTATCAGAAAACCTGAATGTAATGAAAACAATCCACAGTCTTACTGTGTTAGCAATACTTTGTCCTTTCAGCTCTTTGTAGTGTTTATTTCTTAATCTGAATGGTGTTTTAGCTCTCTTACTTAGCTTTCACTGGAGGGATATGTTGTGGTCCTATTCAGCTTGCTGAATAATTATTTGTAGTCACTCATGCTATTGTCTTATTCTAAAATCCAGGCTTCCTTTTTTTTGTTCCTAATAGGTTCACATGTGGCCGATGAAAAATGTATTCAAAATGAGCCAAAACCAACTCTAGGCATAATTCGCCTTTTGATGTTTACCACTCACAAAAATATTGTTACCAGCAATGATTTTTAAACTTTCTTAGACCACTAATGAAACTAAAGAATTTAATTGGACTATCAATAAGTTCTTGTGTGAAGCTGTTAGTAACAGGCCCATTGGGTGAGAAGCAGGCAAAGATGAATGGATCTGAAAAATGGTTAACACTGCACATTTTTTTTATCAGACTGTATAGGAAGTCTGAATGATTTTGCATTATCTTCATCAGTGCTCTTCTGATTTCAAGTAACGCAACATCTGGCACATATTTGCAAATCACATTTAGCGTTGTGTTGCCTAGTCTTTTCATTGAGCACATTCTACATGAATCATTTGAAGAATCATACTGTGGGCTACATATGTGGCAATACTGAAAAGACATTAAATCACCAGTTTTTACATTTTCGGATAGTGCCTATCTTCTGTTAGCTCTTCAGGCTACAGTTTGAAGTTGCCTGGTTTTGTAAACATGGTTAACTTTCTTTGCTTTTCTGTTTAACAGCCTTCTTAGTGAAGGGAATTACATTCTAAATACAGAGAACAAAAACACAATACTAACACTTTCAGATTACGGAGTGGCCCCTTTTCTTCAGTATGTAACATATATAATCAGCGTGTTGTCAGTATAGTTGGGAGTGGTTCCTAAAGCCAAAATGCTGAATGCTTCTGATTTGAACTTTGTTTCCATTTGCATGAACTGACTTTGACAGTTTAATGTGAAAATATTAATTCCTGTTCTAAATCTAATTGTGTGTGAGTTTTAGCAAAAACCACAAACATATCATGTAAGAATGAGCAAGTACTATTACCGACCCTTCTTTCATATAACTGTATTCAGGATTCTACATGTGCATGTGGCTTAGTGTGAAAGAGCATTGAAATCAAAGTAACAGATCATTTTATGGGATACTTAATGTATGCATGGAGGAGGTACTTAATTTTTTTAAGTCCTCTATTCAGTTGTAAGAAATCCTGAAGATAAGCTAATTATTCACTTCCTTCATACTACTGATGATTTCTACAAACACTGCTGTATCTGCTCCTTAGTCTGTGTTTCTCAAGTTAAGGTGTCCTGGGCTCTGTCTTGCTGGTAAGTTTCAGTGGTTACATGAAAATACTGCGGAGTAACCTTGAGCAGTGAACCTGCATTATCTCTGCTGCTTTATTGGTAATTACTTGATTACCTTCTCCTGGCCTCTGTTTGGACCACTGCAGTTAGCTTTGCAAGATAAAACCATTCAAACTCCGTGTGGATGGTAGGCAGGCAGATGTACTGTTTGGCTTTGGACACATCCTGACAGCACAGGGTTGCCACTCCTGACCGTGTTTGCATCTCACCAATGCAACACAACTCACCACGTGGGAATTCCTGTTCTAGAAGATGCTTCTTTTGTTATGCAACTTGCAAATAATCCTCAAAATTAGGACTTCTAGGCTTTCTCTTTGCTCATGGTCTTCCAATAGATTTAAGTTTGTGTAGTTGGTGGTCCTGGGACAGGTTCTTGGTTTATGCTTAATTTTTGACATTTTGATTTGCCAAATACATAGACTGATAGCAAAAAAATGATTGTACTTTCTCTGCTCAAAAATATGTCCATTTTAGTATTAGTTTTTAATCATGCAATATCAAAAGAATGCTTTTTCAGCAAATATTGTCAGTAAATAAAAGTAGGACTGCTGTGTACAGAGTAAAACCACTGAGATTTTTATTTTAGATACTACTGCTTCATTTAAACTTTTTCTCTTTTCAGTCTCACTTTATTTCTGCACTGACAGTGGTGTTCGTAAACTCCAAATCCCTCTCTTCACTTAAGATTGACGATACACCAGTAGATGATCCATCTCTCAAAGTGCTAGTGGCTAACAACAGTGACACGCTCAAACTGTTGAAAATGAGCAGTTGTCCTCATGTTTCTCCAGCTGGTAAGCTACTGTTGTTTTGGTTTGTTTGGTGTTTTGTTTTTGGTTTTTTGGGGGTTTTTTTAATGTATTAAATTCTATCTGAAACCAGTAAACCTCTGAAAAAGTAGAGGTGAGGTAAGAGTGAGGATGAATATGGTAACTACAACAACTGTCACTGAAAAAAATACTAATTCAACTGGTTGTCAATCCATCCGTCCCACCACTTGCAGAGCGTCTGTTCTGGACAAATAACCAACCTCTTGTGGAACTTTAAAAATTAGAGTATGTATTGACTTGAGGGTACACTACTTCTGCAGTGACTATTTAAATATGCCAGTATAATTAAGCTTTTTGGAACGTGGGCTCCTTTTTTGCAGTTCATTGTGGATGGATTTTGAGTGTTGCAATGTAATGGATTATGAAGATGCTCATTTAGTCATTCTGAAAAAAAAGCAGTTTAATCTTTTGCTGGAGAATGAGTGGCAGACAGCATCAATAAAGGGGAGATGAGACTGAGCTGTGCAGAACTTCTGCCATTACCAGATGTACTTCAATAACACTCTGAGTGTGTTTACAGCAAGAATGAAGCCAGCTTGTATCAGAATAAAATAACTCAAGATTGTTAAAGTTCATAGAATTAACATTTGTGGAAGATTTGTGCGATGCACAGCAGGTTTAAGTTTGATTCACAGCCCATCAACTTAATACTTAAGAGTTTTTCACTGAGAAATGGAAGAGGAATTATAAATTATATGCTGTCAACTTAGTTAAATTCCTCTTCTGAGGATAAGAAACTACTGTAGTCACCATAGCTTTCTTAATGCAAATATATTGCAACTGTAAGTATTAGGTATATGAGATGTAAAATTCACCAGCAGGATTCCCAGTATGTGAGGAAAATGATACTGTAGCAGAGGGCATGTTGCAGTAATGGTAACGAACAAAACACAAACTGAGTACCTTTTGCAGGTGTAGCTCTTGGACAGAACCTTACTTTTTTTGTATTAAGTAGTCCTGAAAACGCAGGTTTGTTTTGCATCAGATTTGTCCAGCAAAGTGTTCACCAGCCTGTTAACTGGAGTGTTATTGCCTACAAAGGTTTGTAATTGTAGATAGGGGTTTGTTTAAATTAGCTTGAGTGACTTGTTTTTCTGACTTAAAATTTTGTTTGAGAAGCCTTGTGCCTGAGAAGTACAGGAGCCATTATGTGTCTTTCAGGAGGAACAGGCTCCAGCAGTAATGTGCAGCTAGGCAAAGGGAGTAATTTCCTAGGACTTCAATCCAAGAGCAGCCTGTCAGCTCTAGCAGACTTTGCTGGCTTGTGGCTAATTCTTGCTATAAGGTTTTATGGAACATCATACGCTTAATAGTTTGGGAGAGGCCCATGGGTTTATAAAGTTGTTTGACTGGTGTATTCTGTTTGATCTATCTTGTATGATGTTTTAAATTGAAGGAACAATGGGTAAGAAACAGCGATGCCTGTTTAAGGAACAAGGAGCGCGATTGCTGTTGTCCTTCATAGGGTAAGGGTGAATAGAATGGGATCAGATGGGTTAGTGACAAAACCAGACAATGCTAAGCAGACAGGAGGAGAATTTGATTGTTTAATTCAGGTATGGGTGTGCCTTGAGATAAAAAAAAAAAAAGTGGAACAAAAGAAAGGAGCTGGTATGTGGATGATTGGCTTCAGAGCAGGCAGGCTGCAAAAATGACACTCTTGAAGGAAAATGAGAAACTTTGAGCACTGAGACTTACCTGGATTTTTTTTTTTCTGCTGGGAATATTATAAATAGCAGTCTGCTGTAAATGTGGAAAAACTTTTAATTGAACCAAAGGGGCCATGAGTTATGCTAAACTAATTACTTGTCGATGCACTTAAAATGATACAACAAGCCTTCAAATTGCAGCTGGAGGGGGTGGGGCAGCGGCAAATGTTCATTACTAGATTAGTTCTTAAGGAATTTGTTAAGTGAAGGACAGAGAAAAGTAGTGCAAATAGTGCAAGAGAGACTCCACTACTGCAGGAATAAAGGAAAAAGATTGATATGAAACTGAATTTCTTCCAAAGGATGCTGTGAATTATCCCTAAGTTCCTGTACGAAGGTAAATCCCTAAGTACTGTACAAATGTGTTAGGGTTTGGGCTGGAGAAACAAAGGCAGTAGTTTGTTTCTAATCTTTGTGAACTTATCTGAAGTTTTTTCTGCTTGCTGTACTTTAACTTGTGTTAGAACTGCAACAGTACATTGTTAAACAAAATAATGGTTATTTTTAAATCCACATTGATGTGCTGTTGTTTATTACCTGAAATATTAGCTATTAAAAGAGAGGGAACTGAAAGCATTTCTGTAAAGGCTGTATTTCTGCTCTACTTTTTGGGTAGGAGGGTTGCTTCTCTTTGAATGGGGAGATAGGGGAGAAGCATGGATGTAGGGTGTGTCTGCATCAGCAGTTTAGTAGAGGGATTTTTCTGATACAAATCTCTGCTGTATGTTATTGGAAAAGTTTAGCTCTTAGTGAAACAAAGGTTTAGGCAGTGCCTGGGGATGTTCTGTGAATGTACCACTTGCAGCATGGGCTCCAGGCAGGCCCTCCAGTACCTATCTACAGTATTCATTGTCACTGCTATACACAGGCTACAGGATGTCATTGCCAGTATGTGATGTGGATATCCAGTCCTAGGCCCATAAAAGATTGCAGCAAGTTGAACCCAGTTCTTCTCTTCTTGCATTGTGCTAGTCAATAATGTACCTTTAAAGTTAACAAAGATTGTTTTTTTGAAGGATGGCAGCTTTGGATAACAAGCTGATTTGGATGCTAAATTTGTAGCCAGTTGTTTTGGGAATCTGTGTAGTGATGAGACAATCTGTCTGAATCTTGAAACTGTTTAAAATGTTTCATGTGTCAACAGGCCTGGGTATTATGAAGCAACATGCCCAAGTCTGCTTAAATGGAGTGGTCATAGTAGCTGTTGCAGGAGTATTGCTGTAAGAATAACTGTTCGCTGTGATTCAAAGACAGGAAGTAATCTCTGGAATGTATAGGAGGTACACAGAAGTTTGTTAGTTATACTTAGTTGTTCAAATTTTGTACTCTACTCTTTAGAAAAAAAAAATTAGATTTTCACTTCATCATGGTTCCCATCCCCTCCCCTCTGAATGAAATAATGAATATGCTTATGTATATAAACTGTTTCTGCAGGAAATAATTGCAATAAGAGTTGGGTTAAGATTCTGTTTACATAAATTCTTTTTTTTTAAAGTCATCTAACAAACTTTTTATATTTGAAATGACAGTATTTGATACAGTTAGAAGAGCCTCTGATGCATGTGTTCTTGCAGATCCTTGAGTGGAAAATACATACTTTTTAGATGTCTACGTTAATGCAATATTTTTACAGTATTTTTTTTAAGAAAGTGTTTTATAGGCTTTTTTTTTTTTGAGTTTAATAACTGCATCTTAAAATAACTACTGTCTTTCTATATTTCTTCACATTGCTTCAAAGCTATTGTGTATTGAGCTCAGGTTTTTCAGTTCTATATTAAATGCTATGTTCTCATCTCCTCTATTAATGGAAAGACCATATTCTGAATTTCACTCAGTTTTCTGGGTCATGAAATGCAGAGGACTGTATGCCTTTTTTAGTGCATTTTTTTTTAGTACTGTTACTAGTGCAGTACCATTGACTGTGTCTGCAAATAGGATGAGTGGAAACGTTATAGACTGAACTGAATTATTTTTGTTAGTGTCTGTCTTCCATGAGCAGCAGGTTATATTGATACATTAAAGGGAAAGTCTGAAAATCGCTGTTCCAGGAATTACTGCTTCCAATTTGTAGTGTTTTCCCTCTTTTTGCTGTTGTTCTTCCAAATTTAAATATTTATACTTTGCTAGAAGGAACAAATACTGACAGCAGCAACTTCTGTATTTAATTAAAATCTAGTGTTCATTTTAGTTTTGCTTAGGTGACAGATTAATTCATGGTTGCTTTGTGAGCCACGGACATGGACAGAAGTTCTTCCAGTGCAGGCTAGGGAAATACTTTTATTATGAGCAAGCCCGTTTTACAAAAAAGAATTTGAGTATATGTGGTCTTAAAAGAGGGCAGGACAGTCAGGGTATGTTCTTTATATATTTGTAGCAGGGGAATGGACTCCCACAGGAAAGTATACAGTGTAATGTGTTGACTTCTTTATGTTTCCCTAGCAAAACAGCAATGTAGTCCTGTGGGAGGGTGTGTGTGTTTATCTTACCATGTAGGTACAAAGAAGTCACAAGGGCATGCTTATTGGAAAAAGAGTCATCTTCCAGTTGTCCAGTGCGATCTTGTTTTGATGTTAGGTCTTGATTGCATGTTGAAATACATGATCTTTGCACTCTCATGACATACGTAAAAAAAAAAAATCACTCTATCACCTGTATGTTTTTTGTTCACTTATTAGTATATTTACCTGTGCGACACCTTTCACAATGTTCTCTTTCCCCAGGTATCCTTTGCGTGGCTGACCAGTGTCATGGCTTACGTGAGTTGGCGCTGAACTACCATCTGCTGAGTGATGAGCTTCTGCTTGCTTTGTCTTCTGAAAAACACGTCAGGTTAGAACACTTGCGCATTGATGTTGTCAGTGAAAATCCTGGACAGACTCAGTTCCACATGATTCAGAAGAGCAGCTGGGATGCTTTCATCAAGCATTCTCCTAAAGTAAATTTAGTCATGTACTTTTTCTTGTACGAAGAAGAGTTTGACCCATTCTTTCGTTACGAAATACCTGTCACTCACCTTTACTTTGGAAGATCAGTAAGCAAAGACGTACTTGGCCGCGTTGGGATGACGTGTCCTCGGTTAGTTGAACTGGTGGTGTGTGCCAATGGATTGCGGCCGCTGGATGAAGAGCTGATCCGTATTGCAGAACGCTGCAAGTATCTGTCAGCCGTTGGCCTAGGAGAATGTGAAGTCTCTTGCAGTGCCTTTGTTGAGTTTGTGAAGATGTGTGGCGGTCGTCTCTCTCAGCTTTCTATTATGGAGGAAGTTTTGATTCCTGATCAGAAATACAGCTTAGAGCAGATTCATTGGGAAGTCTCAAAACATTTGGGTAGAGTCTGGTTCCCGGACATGATGCCTACATGGTAAAGTCCTTAAAAGACTTTGGGGCTGATGGAATAGCACCTTAAACTCAAGCTTACCATATTGCAATTTACTGTATAAGCTTATTTAATACTATAGTTTTTACTGCGAGTTACTTCATTGTTTGATTGTAAAATTAATTTTTAATTCAAAGATGATTTATGAAATACAGATTCAAAAATAGAAATCATGGATAGCTCCAAAACCTGTTTTCATCCAAACAAAAATCTGTTTTCTGATTTAGATTTGTTCTTTTTCATTGACAGTGACCTCAAACTTCGATGGAAATAAAAATGTATGTAAAAATATTGAAAAGTACCTGCAAAATATCAGTTTTAATACGCTGTCCTTCTTTGATTTAGACATTACTACTGAACACTATCAGGTTTGATCTTAAAAAAGCAAAACACAATTTATTTCTTTAACAAATTGCACCTACCAAAACTGCATGCTTCTGTTGCAGACTGTAGCATTTCTAAATCCAGTCACTGAGATGACAAGATTATAAGCAGTATTTAATAGGCTGTGACATGTACACATTCTTTTATATTAAAGTCATAAAAGGCAAGAGCAATACATAATAATACAGTTTAGACAATTAAAATATAAAGTTTGCTACCTTACTCAACAGATTATTAGAGCCACCTAAAATGTATTTAGAGTGCAAACAAATAGTAGTGCAAGCTACCAGACATGGTGTGGGGTTTTTTTGCCTCTATGCATTTTAATGTAGATTGCTCATGGGGTCTCAGATCTGTGTCTAAACCTGTTTTAAGGTATTTTATGTCTAGCTCAGGAAGCGAAAGCGTTCTGGGGAAAAATGTAGATACATTGTATTTAAAAACACATCGGAGTTAATGAGCTTTTGTTGCACATTAACTGGTTTTGCAGCATACGGTTAGATGGAATAAGGTATAGTTTATTAAATGAACCCTGCAGTGTTAAATGGGATGACATGGATGTGAACAGTGTGAGACAAGAAAGCTAAAATTTGAATGGTGACTAAGAACTTTTTAACAAAATCTTGGACCTTTTGGCTGCTTTCAATTTGAGAGAAATGACATTGTAACAGTTGCTTAAGCTGTATAAACTAATTGTATACTGTAAATCTGTTTCAGAAATGTTTATGTATAAAGTGAATGTTTGATAGTTTATCATTTTATATACCTTTAATTCAGCTAGTTCAATCATTTCATAATATTTAAAAACTGAAAAGCAGTAAACATGCGTGAAGTAGACCAATCGGCAAAAATTTGGTTTAAATATTTGGTAAATCAGTTTTATTGAAGAAAGTTTTTAGTTTGTAAGTGGTGTAGGAAGCATATTGCCTGTGATCTGAATGTGGCTTGTGACTCCATTTCTTACCACCAACAGTTACGTTATTTTCTCTTGTACATTATTGATTGGTAACACTAAAGTGTTCATGTGACTGCTGAATGTGTTTGAAAGGTGCAGTCAGCCACCAGCAAGGCAAAGTGCTCCAGCTGTGGGCTCTACTGAACTCAGCTGGTGGCTTCTTCTCATTCGAGCTGTACAGCTAGTTCTGGTAATTAGATTTTCTTACTTTCTGATTTCAGTAATGTTTATCCAAATGTATAGTTCAAGTGTAATACACTTACAAGCATATTTAAGTTCGTAACTATATTTTGAGCAAACAATGCTCAGTGGACTGGATATCTTTATAGGAGAGTTGTATGTTTCTGTAGAGCTTTGATTTTAAAATTGCATTTTATGAAATACAGTTTTTGTATTAGAATTTGTTAATGTAATACTATAATTTGCTTTTATTTGTATAAAAGGTGTCAATATATTTAGTCTGTAAAAGTAAAAAATCTCAGTGTTTTTTTTATATTCTGACTCTTGGAATTGCCTTTGTGGTAAAGATGGAATAACACTACCAATCTAGAGAAGAGAATGTGCTTTCACTAAATTAATGTGTGAAGTTATCTCATTAGTAAGGCAGCTAAAACCTTTTGGGACCTTGACTGCTGGTGTCCTGATGTTGGAAAGGTAAGTTGGTCTGTTGCTTACTGCTGTGGTAGTGGGAATAAGTGAAAGGCAAGACACAACCTAAACAACAGAGTTGCCTCTGTCTTGGTTTCAGCTGGGACAGTTAACTTTTTTCATAGTAGGTAGTTAAGAGGCTGTGTTTTGGGTTTGTGCTGAGGAGAAGGCTGATAACACACTGATGTTTACAGCTACTGCCAGGACAGTCAAGGACCTTTCAGCCTCTCTGCTGTGCCAGTGTCTGCAGGTGCAGGAGAAGCTGGGAGGGAACACAGCCCCAGGTACTAGCCTAGGATTCAATCTTAGGTTTAGGACTGAGACCCAGATTGGCCAATGGTATATTCCATATCATGCACATCATGGCCGGTATATAGATGAGGCTCTGTCCAGATGCGCTCTCTCTTGCTCCAGGTTGTCTCCCTCTGGGTTGCCCCTCTCTCAGGCTTGTCTCAGTCTCTTTGACACTCAGGCTCTTACCTCCATTCTGGGATTGCAGTTTCAGGACTCTCCCTGCCCTGGCATCGTTAGCCGGGAACGGGCTGAGCCTTAGTCATCAGGTGGTGAGCAGTATTGCTGTGTAGCACTCATTTGTATATATCACTTATTATCATCATTATTACTTTCAATATTATTGTAGTGTAGTTATTAAATTGTTCTTACCTCAACCCACAATTTTCCCTTAACCCCTTTAATTCTTTCTTCCCTGGGAGGGGGGAAGGCGAGCAAGCGGTGTGGTGTTTCACTGCTAGCCAGGGTGGAACTACAACACCCTGACTTCTGGAATTCATGTCTTTGAGGCCCAGTGTTCTGCTTCTGACAGACCTTCGTCAGATCCTGAGATGGGGAGCATGGTAGCAGCTGAAGGCTTTTTGCTTTGCTGTAGTGGAACTGCAAGGTAACTGACTGGCTGGCCTCTTCTGAGGTCTCTGTCATGTATAGACTTGGAAAAGTCCTTTGTAGATGTGACACAGTATCATAACTTGAAAGCGGTTGTGTCTCTCTTCCATTGAAGGTCAGGAGCTTTTATACATCAAACCACTTACAGCATCCTTAGCTCAAACAATCCAGCTATAAAACAAACTTCCCAGGCAAGCCTATATTCTAAGTAGCTTCAGGAAAACTTTAGTGCTCCTTTTTAGCAAATCTTGTACAATTCTTATTTTGCCTTCTGTACATGTCGGAACAAAGGAATAATTAAAGAAAAATAAACCCATGACAAGAGGAGTAACAGGAGTATCACAGACTGCTGTGAAGTTCACTATAAACATGAACACGGGTGTCTTATAGGTGTATAATTTTTCCTAGGTTCACCTTAATTTCTTACTGTCTTCAGAAGACAAGCTACACGCTTGTGAGTTTAAGTGGGGTTTTTATTGATTTTTTTTTCAGTCTGAAACTTTCACTAATACTATGCAAACTGATCTAACTACATAGATATAAGTTAGCTATAACTATTCCAATTGTTAAAATTTTGATGTGTGCCAAATTTCCTGTGAATTTAAAGCAGGGTTCAACTGGGCCTCTATATTTGGAGTACACCTGACTAAAACCTAAACTTTGTCACATTACTTCGGAGAGATCTGTCTTCATCTCTGGACAGTCTGGTTGGTTGCACACGTGTTGCGGAAGCTGATTCAGGATCCTGCTGACTACACCAATTTGTTGCGGAATGAGTGGTTTAGATCACTTAAAGAATCACTATCAAAGGTATTAGCAAAAATAATTTTAATAGGAATTTACAAAAGTGCGACTTAACAAAGTTCGATGGCAAGGTTTGCTCCATTACTTACTACATGGAAGAAACATACAAAGGAAAATCAAGTAACAATTGAGCTAGAATGATTGGAGATGCAAAAGGGTAAGGGAGACCCTCCTGTGGAGTCAGGAGGTTCAGAATGGAACCCCTTGCTCTCTAAACTCCTTACAGAGCCTAGGTGTGGTTGAGTCCAATCTTAGTCCCAGACTTTGTCAACGGTTATATGTCCAAGGGTAGAAATACGAAGAGTAGGGAAGACCCTCCCATTGAGTCACAAGGTTGAGACTGGACTCTCTTGCTTTCTGAACTCCATCTCAGAGAGGAGTCTTAGGTGCAGCTGGATCCAGACTTTGTCCCAGACTTGCTTAACAGGTCTAATGGCCTACAAGGTTTAAATAATTAACATTAAGTAACTACATTGATTGGTAATGTTTCATCAGCCATTAATAAAGCATGCTGTCAGTCACTTATGGAGGATCTGTAGCAAGTAAGGGATCTTTGTGCCTTGGGTGAGAAAGATTTTCTTGGTCTCAGGAAAGGAATCTCAACCCTTGAGAGGTGTCCCTGCTCAAGGGGAGAGTTACCTGGTGTGCAGTTGATTCAGGGAGAGCTTAAATTAGGCTCTTCCAAAGATCTGCCACAGGTAAAAAAAGTGTCTTCTGCTTTGAGGAACAACCTTGAGAGATGTCCCAACTCCAGGGGAGATCACTGCCATGCAGCCACGCTGTCTATCAGAGAGAGATCACAGAAGGCTCGCTTAGGCTGTCGTATTTATGGAATGAAGCTGTTGGCTTGTAGTCAAATTACATGCGATGGAAAGGTATGCAAGAGACTCCTTGTACCCACAACTTTGTTCCTTGATAAAGAAGTCTTGGAAAAGCCACCTGCTATTAATGTGTCAGTCACATGATCAGTGTTCCAAGCTCATATGCATCGATGCTCACTGTGTCACTCTGCTCCTTCATGGGTTTTCAGAGAACAAACTGAAAGTAGAGGAGTTCACGGCCCAGCTATGGCTCAGGCCTTTTATCTCCTCCAGACCCTGCACCTAACCACTGTCAGTCTGGTCAAGGGGTCGAGCACACCCATCACAGCACTAAAAGGTGAAAATAAGTGCTGCTGATGCATTTAAAACTGGAACATTGACTAAATGAGAAAAATTAGTGAAATCTTAAAGGGACTCAGAACTTCAGTGTCTGGAGTTCAGACTACCAACTGTGAATTTAATTAATTTTCCTAAAATACAGGTGCTGTAGAAACAAGTTCCTTGGAGAGATGATTGAAGTTTTAATAGAATCAAAACAAGGACAGTGAAACCACAATTAACCTCAGATGTTCTGTATGTTCATCCTTTTTGTTAGGTTTCTCGTGTAGGCTCACATCCACTGCTGGCTGTTGTAAGTCGTGCTTTAGAGACTGTGGCATGCTTTCTGCTCCATCTTCCGCCTGTGTGTGGGATTTGGCTACCATTACCTGTGTACTTGTGGCATTTCCAGTTCTGTGGGGCTTCTACATACCCCCACCATTAGGGAAAAAGAATTACTTTGGTGTCTAGGCTCCCTAAGTCCCACGTGAAGACAAACTTGTACCGTACAGCGAAGGAACAGCACTGTCAGGCTGAGCAGAGATGACTTGGAGA